CTCGCTCAATGTGCGCAATTACCTAAATGAGACGTTTCCAGGACGCTGGATAGGACGAAGAGGTGCAATTGAGTGGCCCCCTCGGTCACCCGACTTAAATCCTTTAGATTTCTTTCTCTGGGGGCACATTAAAAGCAAAGTTTACAGCACTCCACCTGATACCTTGGAAGATCTGCGAGGACGAATCATTAATGTATGTCGCGAAGTAACACCGCAAGTGCTCCAGAATGTTCGACAACGGTTTGAAGACAACCTGTATCATTGTATGCAAGTTGGCGGACAACATTTTCAGCATTTACTTGACTAATACCGTAAGTTTTGAAGTAAAATTAAATCGATTTTCGCATTTCTCGTCAAAAATATTGTTCGTATTTTCAAAGCTGCATATTTTCTAAAATAATGAATCGATTTTCAAAAAGTAAGAATCGATGTATAGAGAATCCCTTTCTAATGACCCCCCACTTGACCCCATTCCCATTTGAAAAAATTTAGGGGATAGCACCCCCACTTAGGGGGTTGAAGATTTTGGTATGCTTTTTGAGCCAAAAGTTGTCCCCCTCAGAAACAAATTTGACCTGTTTTTGGATTTTGCCGAAAAGTTCTTTACTACCCTGTAATGCCTTGCGGTACGTTTTCGATGGGCTACCCTGTATAGTGATTGATTGAAACCTTTGATTAGTACTTTTTGAAGCTCTCACCTGGATCCCATTTTGGCAGCCCATAAAGAACCTGTCTTCTCTAGATATCTTATTGCAATGTTTAGGTCTGCGTCGTATAGCCCAATAGTCTTGGATATATTTTTTAAATGTATAGAAATCTATAACCTTATGTTATCATGTAGTGAAAATATTAACAACCTCTTAGATGTTGTTAATTGTTGTTAAAGTTTGTCGAGTAAAGGAAATACATGTTTTAAACGAATTTTTGCTGCCGCGTTAATTCGTGATGTCATTTAGTGCGATCGAGAACGGAGAAGGTGAATGAAGAGGACGGCCTAACAGCATGAGCATGAGTAATAGTAGTAATAGATTGGGGTGGCCTCAGCCTGGCAAGAAAGTCACAAGTGAGCCTACCCCTTCCTATCACCTATCCACTGTCTGCTTTTGACCCTCCTCGAACCTGAGTACCTGGTGCCCTGCCCATAAACGCCAGGATTTTGATCCATGGCAGGACCTTCACCTCATTCCCTTGCAGCTCTTCGGTACAAAAAACTTTGTGCCTTAACCTCCCAAAGGCTGCGCAGTATTCCAGAAGGTGGATAGGGGTATCCTCCCCCCCTCCTTTCTTCACATTTCGGGCATAAAGGGTCCTCCTCAATTTCTATTAAGCTTAAATGCATCTGAAGTCTGCAATGGCTTGTCAGGACTCCTACCATTTGGTGAAGGGCTCTTCGACCAAAGTTCAGTAGCTCTGATTAACAAAAATCTAGAGACAGCTAAATTTAGTTTGTGTCGAGGTTATCCGAGTCGAATTAGAGTTTGAACGTGAAAAAATTATTAGTAGACATTTTATTGCAGGAGGAAGGGTATGTAGAACGATAATATCAAAAAAGTAACTCGAAAGAAGAGTTGCTAAGTTGACAAATTGTAAATGAGTGGCAAATTTATGTGTTTTTTCACTTTTTTACTGCCCACGAAAATCTAAACGACCTATGGGAAAATTAGTAATTTTATGTTGTATGCAATTAAATTACCTACAATTTAAGGTACCTAAAGTTATATTTCACCAATTTGATAACTGTAAAATAAAGGTTGAACGCGGAAAAATCAGTTTTTGAAAATTGCTCATTATTATTGCAAAAAACGATGGACGTTGATGACATTTATGGAAAAGACGGTCAACCCAAAGACCAGCATGTATGCCGATTCGATTGACCGTGAAATTGTTGCTCCAGGTATTTGCCAATTCATTTCGTTCGTTTTTTGTAACTAATTGTTTAATTACTAAACGTTAATTTTAGAAATTAATATATTAGATATAAGTTCTAATTGATCTAAAGAAACGTATCGATAAAGAAACATTTCAAAGAGTTGAAATTAAGTTACCCTTCATGTAATAAAATAGGACGTGCAAAACAGAGCTATAAACAAATTGTTCCAGGGTCAGGCAAAAGCCGCTCGGGAATTCGCTCTTTTTGCATCAAATAGAGCTTATTTTTACGCTTTGTTCCCAAGATAGCTTTTTTATATAACGTTAATTATTAACTACTCGTATTATACGTATCGGACCGGGATTTTAGAGACAATTAAAGAAAGGGTTAAACTTTTATTTTACAACAGTAAAAGTTAACGTTAATAAACGGCCTGCACGCGGGAGAAAGAGCACCGGGCACGTTCGTAGACATCGCTATCAGTCGCGCGCGAGATTTTTAATAGTCGAAATAAATTAGTTTTTTTAGGAGAAATAATTTATAAATTGTACGTGGGAGCCAATGAATGGCTCCATCTGTCGTGCAGACTTCCAACTGTACCATTTAAATGACTACAGTAGGAAGCGACCTGCTAATTGCAGGTACTTTGTTGCACGACTGTCACCCACAGAGGGCGTAACACAATGTTTGAGTCGTCAGTGCCGCGAGAAACAACTACTACGAGGGCTATTTGCCCCTACCGGCATTGAATTATACTCGCGACACCTAGTACAACAGCTAGGATCGTTTGTCAGTTTAACCCACCAGGAACAGACCGGTTTCGGACTTATTAGTCCTCATCAGTGTGTCATAGGTGCTACAACCCAGCTGTTCTCCGTCATATCATCATGAAGAGGAAGTACATTGTACGTGGGAGACAATGAATGACTCCATCAGTCGTTTGTCGGTTGTCTCACCTATGAGACACCGATGAGTACTAATAAGTCCGAAACCGGTCTATGCCTGGTGGGTTAAACTGACAAACGATCCTAGCTGTTGTACTAGGTGTCGCGAGTATAATTCAATTCCGGTAGGGGCAAATAGCCCTCGGAGTAGTTGTTTCTCGCGGCCCTGACGACTCAAACATTGTGTTATGCCCTCTGTGGGTGGCAGTCGTGCAACAAAGTACCTGCAGTTAGCAGGTCGCTTCCCACTGTAGTCATTTGAATGGCATAGTTGGAAGTCTGCACGACAGATGGAGCCATTCATTGGCTCTCGCGTACAATGTACTTCCTCTTCGTGATGATACGACGGAGAACAGCTGAGTCGTTTGTCGGTTGTCGCACCTATGACACACTGATGAGGACTAATAAGTCCGAAACCGGTCTGTGCCTGGTGGGTTAAACTGACAAACGATCCCAGCTGTTGTATAGGTGTCGCGAGTATAATTCAATGCCGGTAGGGGCAAATTGCCCTCGGAGTAGTTGTTTCTCGCGGCACTGACGACTCAAATAATTTATAAAGCTTTTAAAATTTGGGTGCGAACTCCTTACGTACATGCAAATAAGATCAACAGAGTTCCCACCGATCCGGTGGGTGCTTCATCCCCTTTTACTTCAGAAACCATCCTCTAATGTGACCTAACGCCAGATTTTTTAATTTTTCTCAAAAACTGCTGCTCTGACGAGGAAAATTAATGGGACCTAAAATATTTGCCATAAAATTCTACATAATTTAAGTGCTATAAACTTTTTTCTGTCGTTAACTCTACTCTCACAAATATGGTTTGAAAAATTAGGAGATGTTGCTAAAGTTAGACAAAAACGAATAAAGTGACAAATGTCTTGAAATACATTGGCCATAGAAAAATGCTGCATGCAAAACAGATTTTTCTACACAAACCTGGCCATAAGGACAAACAAATATGACTACAGAAAATTTTATTATTACTAGGTACTACGTCTTTTATATTCATGCCCGTTTCCACACCACCGCTGAGATAGAGCTCCCGGCGCGTTTTTTTTTTGTAAGTTGTTTTCCCTGGAGGCCTAATCCACTAAAAACTAACTGCTGTTTATTCATTAATTGAATTATCTTCAGTTCATTCTTCCTCTACCACGGAATTATGACATCATTGACCATGACAATTGGAGCACATTGTTGAACAATTCAATCCAATGCACAACCGCATTGTTTTCCGCAACCCTTTTTACAACGGCATGATATTAATTGCATAATAGAAGTAGGAGCTTGTACCTCAATTGTAGGAATTGGCACTAAAATTTGGCTAATTGATTTCCATCCCCATTCATTAGGCTTCAAATTTTCTCCACGCCACGAAATAATTTGTTGAAAAACGCGATACGAATGTTGTTCTAAAGCACATGTAGGTGGTAGTCTTGATAATATCACTGCTTTATTAGATTGACCAACAAATTTGTTAAATGAAATAAATCTAAATTGTTTTAATGAATGATTTTCTCTCAAGCTCATACAATGTCTGGTTTGATCGATGATGGATTGTTAAATATATGCAAAGCATTGTCTAAGTCCGTTCTAGTATTTATTAAATTTACAGTTTTTTCCTTTTCCTTTGCCAAAAAATTCTGACTTAGTATCACATCCACTGAATGCGTGAGCAAATAATATATTTCCGAATTCTGTAAATCGAGAGAACTATATGCTATACATACTAAACATGTTTAAATATATGTTTTACGTTTTATGTATACAATTTACATTAAATATTAAAAAACGAAAAGGAATACATTAATAATTTATCGCAAAGCTATTAGGTAAAGCTTTATTTTGTTATGTTATGTTATTTTGTCTTTACCAGCATTAACCTATTTCAAACGTCATTTAAGAGATTAGTGTTGGATATAGGAAAAAATTTGTAGGACACAAATGTTGTAAAATTTTATGCTGATTGTTTTAGGTCCTATTCATTTTCCTCGCCAGAGTAACAGTTTTTGAGAAAAATCAGAAAACGGGCACCAGGTCACGTAACGGGGTGGTTTCTGAAGCAAAAGGGGATGAAGCACCCTCCTGAGAGGTGGGAACTCTTTTGATCTGTGTTTGGATGTCTATTAAGAGTCCACACCCAAATTTTTTAAACTTTATAAATTATTTCTCCTATTTCCCATTTTAATTGCTAATTTATTTCGATTATAAGGGCCGATAAGCAGATTACGTTCTCAGCTGCACTAGATCACACTACAATCATCACGTTCTTGATCACGAGACAAAATTTGAACTTTTACATAATTTTAAAAATCTACAATTAATTTTTGCATTAAACACATTGTTTTATTTACTATTATTAATTGTTGGTTATAGATTTCAAATTTATGCAGATCTAAAAGAATAAAATGTTCATGTAAGTTTCCTATTCTTTTCAGGGTTTTTTTCAAGCTTTGTATACAAAAATATCTTCTACTTGCTTGATGTTTACTTAGAATGAATGGAGTAATTAATTCATCAGCTTCCTGTTTACCCTAAACCAACATTAGAGTGAACTTATTGTGATTCTAACACCAATATGCATGGTCGATCGCCAGGAACCCGTCGAAATTTTATTTCTCTACCGACGATTCGCTGACGAAAGGATAATAAATAATCAGTTTTCGTTGCAGTCAGTCGTTCTCTCAGCGTTCTCCATTTCAGCACATCGATGGAAGAGTTATAACAATTTAATCATGCGCAATGCAATTGATATACCCTGACAATTTACAACTTACAAAGTGCTTGTGAGTTTCCTCTATATCTGGGAATTTTGCATACTTTCGAATGTTTATTACAATTCGTCCAGTGATTCTTGTTATTACACCAAACTTTAATGATGTTCATGAAACAAAAAAAAAATCGCTGGTGAAAATCTTAGTGTTTGATTTAAAAAAAATATCACATTTATTTACTTATATTTTAAGATTTTTGACGTAGACTTACGAAACTTAGGCTTATGAATTAAAATTTCAAGAGGGCCTGAAAGAAGTGTAAGAAACCATTTTATTGTAATTTTGTTGATAGGACTTTGATCATTGTTTAGTTTTCAATAAATTTTAAAACAGTTTGCAGCTAAATAATGACGACTAATCAGTTTACATAAATAATAACAGTGTCACAAAAAAAGTATTTGGTCCGAAAGACCAGACCATGATGTCTATATGTTTTTGGGGTCGCAGTAAGTCCAAAAACGTCTCTTCCTACACTCACACGCTTTTTCTTGATTTGACCTTGAAATGGCTTTGACACTGACGTGACAGAGTTAAAAAGACACCAGATTCGGAATTAGTAACTCCAAAAACTCCTTTAACCATAAACACATTTTGTAATATTTATATTCGTTGCACGCATAAAACAAACAAATTAATTAAAATTTTCCAATATTCATACTTTTCTCGGAAAATATGCTTCTAATCGGAACATTGATAGAGACACTTTTGATTTATAATTTTATTTAGATTTGACAATATTTTTAGTTTTCCAATATTTTAAAATTTTTAATATTTGGTCCGCCATATTAGATCCGCCATCTTGAATTTTGAATATATAACACTGGATTCAGAGTCAGCACAAAAACGTGTATGTAACAATGGTAAAATTTTTTGCATTAAGGTTTTTCGCGATATGATCTTGGATTAACCTTAACCCTGACTTGATCGGATTAAACTGACCTCAGATTCGGATTCAGCGACCCCAAAAACATATACATATCGTGGTCTGGTTTTTTGGACCAGGTATTTTTTTTGTAGCTCTTTGTAATAATTATTATTTGAAAAACCTGTCTGTGGTGGAGCCTATGTCTTTTATTTAATTGAAATCTGCGGTCTAATTACATTTATAATCAGATTGATGACTTTTCTCGGTGTTGTCAAAAGTGAAACCATATTCAAAATACTCAGTGAATGGTCGACTTTATTTATGGTGAAATTTTGAAGACAAATTATTGGCTCCTAATGTGTCAAATGTACGGTTTCAATCAATCATGTTATTTTTAAGATTAAAGCTTGTAGAAGCTTTTAGTTCAACATGCGTCTTTTCTAAATTTACTCTAGAATAAACAGCAGTAGTTTGTATTATCGAACATGCTTTTAGGACACATATTGGTCAATTATTTTAGCATGGCCAAATAATTGCACTCTTTTCTTGCAAACACAAAATTTATGTGGTTGTAGATTTTCATTCCAATCCATCTTCCACTATAATTCTCATTAAGTGAACAACTTACTTTAAAATCACATTAGATTAGCTTAATTACTTAATTGTGCCAAAATTTTTTTAATTTAATTATTTTTTTGTCAAATTTCCCACAAGTTCCTTGTGGGTCGCTGCTCTAATAGAATCAGGTCACAATTTCAAAAAAATCCTTCGAGCGGCTTCCCAGTTATCCATCGATGGAGTTCGTGGTGGGATACCCTGTATATTATGTAAACACTTAAATGTGTATTCTTATAATGTAAAGAATGCAGTTATAAGAAGGCAACGGTTATTCCACCTTTTGTTAGAATAAAATTACATAAAAGAAAACTCGGCCTACAGCCAACCCTGCATTTGTTTCTGATCTCTTATTATAACATAATAATTATTATAATTTTGAGGAATTATCCTACGAAATATTTTATACTATTTAGAAGACACCCTATCCATTTATACTGTTTGTGCCCTGAGTCATTATTGAACTAGTATGTCCAAAACCCCTTTTAGGTTGCTCAAAGAAAAGCAGGATAACGAGGAACGCTCGAAAAGCGTCACGCCCGTCGCGTCGCCCACGTCTTCATCGATGAGATCGCCGCCTCCCGTCTGCGAGGAGGATACTGGGGAACTCATAGGGCCGGGTCTGCCTTTGCTCCAACGTATCCTGATGCTCAAGGCGAAAGAGGACAAGGCCGCCAAAGCCGCCAAAACTGGAGTCGGGGGGACCAAGAGCGTGACCAGCCAGTTGTTCAGCGGCATTAGTCTTAGTAAAGGTAAAGACGGTAGGGGAAATAAAGAGTGTTCCAATGTTCTGTGTACCTACTTGCAACTACCATGAACTTTTGAAATCAAAATAAGTATAACTATATTTGACTCTATACAGAGCTGTTTCGTTTAGCCATTAGAGGGGGTAGAAATTGACAAAAACTTTTGATTTTCTCCATATAACTGTAAAACGTGTTCTCACTTAAATGAAGATTGGTACTTATGTGTAAAGGTTAGTTTTTGGGAAATTGACTAAAGTAATAATTGAAATATTTTATTTGCATGATAATAAAAACGAAATAGTGGTTTTTGATGTTCAAAAACTACCTTCACAAAAATGATTGGATATGACCACTATTTTCAGTAACACATAATTTGGTAAAAATGTAAATAATAGCAAATGAGGAAGTGAGGGAAATTTAAATAAAAAAATAAATAAATGCAACTACATATTTTTTTATTATAATAAACAATAGTTTTGAAGAAGGGAAATACGTTGCTAGTCAACTTTTAGATTTGACAAAAGCTTTCGATTGTGTATTGAGATTATATTTGAGTAATAGATTACAGTATGTTGTATATAATAATGTGAAATCATCCACAAAGAATATTGAACATGGAGTTCCACAAGGTTCCATATTAGGTCCGTTACTGTTTCTGATACATATTAATGATTTTCCTAATTGTTTACCTCATGATACTAAAAGTATACTCTTTGCTGATGATACCAATAGAACTAGAATCAACTTAAACTTTGAACAGTTAATGACATCAACTTCAACATGCATCGGTTGAAAACTGGTTTACTAGTAATCAACTCAGTTTGAATACTTCGAAGACCGAAACTATGAGCCTTAATATCCGAAATATGGAAAACTGGGATAATCCAGCACATGTAAAACTCTTGGGAGTTCATCCTGACCCTAAACTGACATGGGATCAACATGTTAATTATGTTTGTCCTAAAATATCAAAACAGACTTATTTACTTCTGAGTCTCAAAAGAAGAGTTTCAATATCAAGTTTGCTGATAGTTTATCATGCTATTTGCTCTATGAAAAAAGTTTTTACTCTTCAGAGAAAAATTATTAGAATCATATCTGACCTTGGTTTTAGAGATGATTGTAGAGAGCAGTTGAACATACTAACTGTACCCTGTGCATATATACTTCAGTGTCTTATTTATGTCAAAAAACATATACATAACTTTGAAATCAGAAGTGAGACTCACTCTTATAATACACGAAAGAGCACATACTTATGTAATAAATTTCTAAGACTTATAAAACGCGGGTCGGTACTAATTAATGGGCCATCAAATTTGTTTAACACAATACCTTACCAAATTCAAATTCTTAATGACAATAAGTTTAAATCAAGGATAAAAAAGTACTTAATAAAAAATGCCTTTTATAGTTTTGATGATTTTAGTAACAGTAATGTAATTCGAATATAAATGTTATCATTAGTCTTAGTGTGTCGTTTATTTATTTTAATTATAATATGTTGTTTATGTATATTTGTATAACAGTTAGTTACTTATAAACAGTTACCTACCATAAACTTCTCCTACGGTGTACACCATATTTACTAATTCTTCTTTAGAGTAATTCATTTCACAATTATTACCGTCGCTTTTCTATTAAACCTTATGTGAATCGAACATTTTCCAGATTATCCTTTGACAGGAGCCTACTACGTTATTTTACTTATAAGCTATTTGTAAACTTCACATTTTTTCATAGAAATGAGATTTCATGAAAAACTAATGAATTTTGGTGTAGGAGCAGGTATAGCAAAGTTGTAGAGAATTTAATTCTGCAACTCATGGTATGAAAATATACAGGGTGTTGCATTTAAAAAATTCGATATTTTTAAATTTTTCAATTGGCAATTTTGACATGATATTTTGGTCACCTTGTATAACGCAGGCCAGTTTTTGGAGCATGATTCGGAAGAGTCATCCTTACTAAACATCTGATAAAAACATGGGCTTAGTAGCTATTAGTATAACCTGTCAGTATCAGAAAATGTAAGCAGCCAATATCGACTAGAAAAACCTTTCAAGTGAGATATCTCAAAAACTGTGAATATTTGAATAGAACTATTCTACACAAAGCACCCTTTATTTTTGATGTAGAATCCGAAAAAATATAAAAAATGCGTGTTTCCATTTAAAAAACCAAAGTTGGTGTCTGGCCAGGAAAAGTAGAACACCCTGTATAGTTCAATATATTTTTAATTTGTACATTCCCATAAATGTGGCAACGCAGTAAAAAGAAAAATCCATATATTCCTCATTTTAACATAGATATTGGACTTTCCCGCACACGCTGTATATTTAAAAAGTTAAAAGCAAAATCGAGGTATGGTGAGAATGTCTAGTTATAACTATCTTGTTTTTAACTTTTTAAATGAGAAATGAAAGTTTAAAGACAATGCTAATGATTGAATCTAGCTAAATGCACATGGTTGTGGCAAAAAAATCACTTATTGGTGTCTAAAAAATCACTTTTTTAAGTAAAAAAGTATATTTAGTACTACTGACAAAAAACCTAACAGCGGTGATAAAAAATTTTCTAGGGTGAAAAATTGTACTGTAGCTATCTACCGTAATTAGAAAATGGGATTGCAATGATAAAAAATTAACAAAAAATCTTTTTAATCACTTCTTTAGCAAAATATTTTTTATTACGGCAACAGCATAACTTTCATGGAGCCTATTTGATAGAGATTTTTTGATAGGGTTAATCAATTTCTAGATATAACTAAAACATATTTCCCTCAGTGTAATAATATTGAAAATGCCATCAATAGGACACTAAATTTATTTTAATCGAACAAAGAATTTTAGAGTTATTTTATTCCCTCTAGCGGCTAAAAAAAGGAACTTTGGATGAGGCAAGTTTAGCTAAAATATTTCTTTTTATCTGATGAATCTGTGGGACCTCAAGCATTTGCTGATTTTTTTTTGCAGGTACACCCGTTAGTCAAACCACATTTCAAACCTCGAACACTACAACGACGAGGTCTTCTTTTTCAGCCCCCCCTAAGAGTACGCTGGCATTGGTTAGTTCTAAAGCTGCGGTGCCGGCCAAATTACTAAATAACAAAATTTCACTTAGGTAAGTAAAATGCGAAAAAAATAGAATATTCCAGTTTTTCCAACTATCAGAACTGTTTTTATAATACATTGCAAGTAAAATAAACGTCAAATACAAGTAGCTCGCAGTTGTAAATTTCGTTTTAGTAGCGGACTGAGCACGTAAGAGTTAAACTAGTTACCAAATTTCATAAATTTATCTAAACTGGTTTCGGTGAACTGGTTAAAGTGGCTATAACTTCTTTAGGAAGAATTTTTGGACCCATATTTATACAGGGTGTGGCGTGTATAATATATAAAAATTAAACTACAGCTTCCTAACGATATTCGTAGGTAACAGAAAAGTCTTATACGAAAAAGTTCTTTTTTTGGTATTTTTTTTGTNAATAGAAAAGTCTTATACGAAAAAGTTCTACTTTTGCGTTTTTTTTGTAAATTAAAGTTCAATTATGGATCAAAGTATTCTCTCTGGAACGGTCCTGTCCTTGTGCTGTACGATGAATTACGTGCTATAGATCAACCGCGTAAACAAATCGTCGTTGAAAGATAGAAAGATACTTCTCAATTTTTGGGGAATTTTTTAATGCAAAAGTACAAACTAAGAAAAATAGGTAGATATTTAAAAAAAAACTGATATTTTCTTATTATAATAATTAATAGTAATTACTATCTTAAATGCATTGTTGCTACTGCAAGAGTTCGTAAACAAAACCACATCCGTAAGCATCTGTAGTTGCCTACTGCGTGCACTAAACAAACTCCATTAAAACATGGAACAAAATGAAATAAAACTTACCATTTCTAGAGAAAATGTTGAAATTGATCCCCATTAGCGCGGATACAGGCATGGCACCCACGCACCCAATTTTGGCGATTATTTTCCCAAATTCCAGGTATTCACCTAATTGTGTCAGCAGCTTCAAGTATACGGATTCGCAATTCTTCCACCGTAGCAATTGGAGTATTGTAAACCAATGACTTCAAGTAATTCCAAAGATAAAAGTTCATTGGAGTTAGATGGCCACAGCACAGGACCAAAGCGTCCAATCCATCGCTGAGGAAACATTTCATTCAAAAGTGTCGTGACTTCTCGAGTACTGTGTGGAGGAGCCCCATCTTGAAGACAAAACATGCGTGCCCGAACTTGTAATGTCACATCGTCCAATAATTCGGGCAACCGGTTCTCCAAAAAGTCAGCATATGTTGGTCAATTTAGTCGTCCTTTAAAGAGATAGGGACCCACAAGCACATCGCCTATTATGCCAGCCCAAACATTTACCGAGAACCGATGTTGAAAATGAGTTTCTCTAATTGCGGGGGGATTTGAATCGGCCTATATGTGCATATTATGGAAATTCACTTCATCACGGGTAAATGTCGCCTCTTCTGTTGCACAAATATACGCAGGAAGTCTACTTGATTGGAAAATTGTAGCAAAAACCATCTGCAAAAACGCAATCGTTGATTACAATCCGGGGGTAAAATCTGTTGAACTGGTTGCAGATGATAGGAATGCAACAGCTGGCGCCTTAATATGAGATGTACGGTACAAGATGAGGTTCCTACTTGTTGTGGGGTCTTCGTCAAGATTTTCCAACATTGCATCTTCAACATTAAGGTTTACTTGCTGACCACGTCCTTCTCCTCGAGGAATTACACTTCCCGTATCTCGCAGCCGCTGAACGTACTGTAGGATTGTATTTGCACATTGGGGGGTAACGTTATGGCCATTGTTCCCGGTACAACCTAATCGCCGCGTGTGCATTTTCTCCGGCTGCAGCATATACAAACACCATATCGACACGTTCGGAAATAGTAAATGCAAGCAAAGTAAGAAATAAGAATCTTGTTTTTAATGTAATCGGCACGCTATTCTTATTTTTTACTTCTTTATAAAAATTATACTGTCACTATCGTGGAATTGCAAAATAAAAACTTTTGTCTGGAATCTTTCACTTTTTAACACTGATGGGTCGATAGACGATGCTTAATATTTAATAATTAAGTGAATAATGAATTCAATACAAATACAAAATCAGTTGACTGCACAAATTTTTTGACAATGTAACCTAACCTTCTTTTAGTATTACTAGTATTAGATTATACCGACTTAAATTATATGGTTGCATCTCTGGTCGCATAAAAACATTTTCAAAGTTTTTAATAAATTACACAGGGTCGGCCTTCATTTTCATTGAATAAATTAACTTTAATTTATAAAAAAAACGCGGAGACAGAACTTTTTCATATAAAACTTTTCTATTACAAATATCATCAGGAAGCTGTAGTTTAATTTTTATAGATTATACACGTCACACACTGTATAAAGAAAAAGTATCCATTTTCGACATAGAACACCCTGTAGAAATATTGCCCCCTAATTTCGGAACACCCTGTATTCATACAGGTATATGAAATTATTGTCTAGTTATTTATTTGTGACAAATTTGTAACCTAAGGGGTTATTTCTTTAATTATCTACCTTTAATTAGTTATCTATTTAATTCTCGAAAGAGATACTACTTAATTCTCGAAAGGGAGTTTATTATCATTATACTTTAATTAACACGTGGGAACTTAGAAATGTTGTATGTTCAGAGAATTACTTCCAAGCCCTTACCATTCATCGCTTACGTGGAATGTAATCCAGTGGCTGGCTATACAGGGTGACACTGAAGTTGGAGAAACAAAAAGAAACACCAAAAATTCCAGGAAGGGTTTATTAACAATAAACAAAACAAACAAACAAAATAACTACACAACGGCTCGACGACATTATTAATTAATTTATTTACACACGCGACAGCGTACCGAGATTCAGGGAATGCGCGCTTCATAGCAAAATTTAGAAAAGACTCTAACCATTATTAAATTAAATCAATTGGCCCGAGACTCTAAAGTTAATAATTCGTCTGCTCAATGTGAAACCTAAAGAAGAACTGCCTTTCTTGCAGATCCTTCTCGAATTCCACACTTCGCTTTGACACGCCCATGTCTTGGGTCCAGAAGTTTCGGTTCTTGTCTTATTGGCGAGAACCTAAATATCGGGACGCTGGTATAACTATATTAGGTTGATAATTACCTAATTGACTTGACTTACATTTATATCAATAATTCTGAAGCTAAACTTACTTATAATTAACCCTAGCCTTCCCCTAGTGACTCCGTGTAGCAAATACGGGGCGGATTAGTCAGTGTCATTTAATCTACTCTTATAGCTGGAAAATTCGCCGAAAAACCAGCTCATTAATATACTTTTCTTTTTCAATAATTTATTAATTTACAATTTAATTTAAGTCTACATTGGAATCCCTACGCTCTTCTCGCGGTTTCGCGCGTTATTAAAAAGTTGGGTTTCTACGCGGCGCCTCCCAGACGCTTAACACATGGCCCCGACAGTATAAGTGAACTTGTTAAAAATATCGCTAAATTTCGGGTGGCCTTCCCCGAAGGACGGTCTTGGCGACGTTACCTACTTGAAGCCCTCAACTTTCGATAATTTGTGTCGACTGGAATATTGTACTTGGCCCATCGTTCCGAGAACTATTAAATAAATGACTGCGCGTCCCGGCTTTTGTTATTTGTCAGAATAGATTAGAAAAAATTGTAAAACTATCGGAGCATTATTTTTATCAAGTTACATGAAATTCACAAGTAATTTCTAATTCATCGAAATTTTTCTACACTTAAAATTTTGTAAAAACTTATTTCTTTTTACACGGTCTCTAACTAACTAAAAAGATAATATCAACAAGCTGAACTCTGACTTTGACTTTCTCGAACTAAAAGAGAATCAAACTTTCAGATTTTCGAGTAATAACTTGACTTGATATTCATTCCTATTTAAAAACATACAAAAAAGGGTTTGGAACTGTTTTATGTTCGTCAGTAATTCATCGCAACGTCAAGCCGGGCCCATGAGGGTAAAGTGATATAACATGGTTATTATTCTCCTTCAAAATTTACTTGAACCGTCTGAAGATGTTTGAACATTATGGCAGATTAGGTTATCCTTCGGATATCCGAGGGATATCTTAGCATATCCTCCCAATGTCCCGGGAGCACATGGCTGATGCTGTGAGCTGTTAATAACTGAGCCTGAGAATGTCTGAATATTATGAAGGATATCTTCTGGATGTCCAGGTGATATATTTCCATTTTTTTAAATCAGTCTTTGGATTATTTCAGAAAACTAGTTAAGTAGCTATGATATGTATTTAACTATAATAAAATTAAACAATAAAATGAAAAAGTTACAATTTTTCTCAGAAATACAAATTTGTATTCTCGAAATAGGTTCTTGTGAAGAATTAAGTATTTTACATTTAATAAGAATGCTTATTTATTTGTAAAGACGCACTTACTTTATTACAAAAACAGTAATTTGATATTATTTATTTTACTTTAAAACAATGAGAGTATTAAAATCAGTTGGGTATGCTTGAAAAATAGTTTATTTTTCACTTAGGCGATATAGCTTGTTTAAGGAAACAACGTCATATCACTCTAGGGCGAAATAAACGGACCTAAATATTATCGCCCGCATTTTGACCCTATTTTGTACGATTCTTTTCTGCAAGGGTAGAATAGTAAATGTGCCTTGTATAAGTGAAGCAGACAAATGAAGGTACAAAGTTTATTAACATTAATATTTGATTTAAATTAATAACAAAAATCATTTACAACCGTCTTTAAAAATGAAAGTACAATAATTTGAGAAGGAACCTTTAACAGTAACACCAGAAAAACTTTCTAAATTTTCTTTGCCATCGAATAAATGTTGTTCATTTTCCCTCACAATTAATTCAGAAAAATTGTCATCACTAGTTCTTTCGACTCCTGTTATTAAACGAGATATTTTATTCTTGGAGTTATGCTGTCTTCTACATATCCTGATGCTACAGTATCACTCTTCCATTTTTCATGTCTTTTCAATGTTATCATATCTGCACCTGCATATACGAAAAGAGTTGCCGATGTACGACGCAAACAATGACCTGTGTACATTTTAGCATCTGCGAGATATTTTGCAATCCTGGACGGTATGCTACCGAAGATATTTTTGCCTACTGGTTGCGCAGTACATCGATCATTCCGATAAGTCAGAAAAAACCGCCGTTCTTTGATTTTTACTACAATAACGATTCCTTTGTCATCTATATTATCTATCGAGAGCCTTACCAACTCATCTCTTTTTAATCCTCCACAAATATCCAATACTAGAACAACCTACAATAACAAAAACCTATTAAGCACATGCAATAATATAGCCAATTATTTCCTATAGAATATCTTTTCCAAAAGATATGTATGACATGATCCTTTTCTAATCCTTATCAAAAATTATAAATATTTCTTTAAAGTGATAAAAGGCAATACACACCAGTTCTTGGAAATATCCCATTGATATAGTTTCACTAACAGCTGTTACTGAATGTCTGTTTGTCCAAGTCTCAAAACGTTTATATTCTTTATCATAAAGTAATTTAGATTTCTTAAGCAGTAATTAATTCTTCATTGGCTTTATTGGCTATAGCAGCAACTATTGCTGGAATATTATCCATTCTGCCTTTTCAATATGTCTCCTCAGATAGATCAAATGTCTAAATAAAAAATAAAACGTTGTATGCACCACGGGAGACACTAGGAGGTCGCCTGCAGGCATAATCGTCCCTGTATCTCCCTTGGTACATAAATAACTATTTCATTTATGTCTTTAATCCTAGAAGAAATATGTCAAAACTGAGAGGGCAAAAATTAAAATTGAATTGAATTTTTTTAAACAATGTTATAATGGTTTTATCACCAAGGCTGATTTTTTAATTGGTAATCAAGAACAAAGTGAAACTGATTTTTCTGATTAATTCCGAAAATGATTGACTTTAAAACAGAGTATGAAAGATTAAGTGACGTATAATGGGATAACTGCCTACAAATTTCATGAGACCTCTATTCAAAGGCGTGGGTTAAGAGCTAAAAATCAGTTTTAAGGGCAACAGTTCTATGCAAAATGTACACAATGGTATAAAACCGAAAAAAACGCTGTGGACGGACCAATATGGCGACTACTGTGTGCTCACTACCACTGCCGCGCAATTTGGTGCATGCGCAGTAAATGATATGCAAAGTGCTCCAAAACAAAAGGTAGATATTTAGTNCAGCAACTATTGCTGGAATATTATCCATTCTGCCTTTTCAATATGTCTCCTCAGATAGATCAGATGTCTAAATAAAAAATAAAACGTTGTATGCACCACGGGAGACACTAGGATGTCGCCTGCAGGCATAATCATCCCTGTATCTCCCTTGGTACATAAATAACTATTTCATTTATGTCTTTAATCCTAGAAAAAATATGTCAAAACTGAGAGGGCAAAAATTAAAATTGAATTGAATTTTTTTAAACAATGTTATAATGGTTTTATCACCAAGGCTGATTTTTTAATTGGTAATCAAGAACAAAGTGAAACTGATTTTTCTGATTAATTCCGAAAATGATTGACTTTAAAACAGAGTATGAAAGATTAAGTGACGTATAATGGGATAATTGCCTACAAATTTCATGAGACCTCTATTCAAAGGCGTGGGTTAAGAGCTAAAAATCAGTTTTAAGGACAACAGTTCTATGCAAAATGTACACAATGGTATAAAACCGAAAAAAACGCTGTGGACGGACCAATATGGCGACTACTGTGTGCTCACTACCACTGCCGCGCAATTTGGTGCATGCGCAGTAAATGATATGCAAAGTGCTCCAAAACAAAAGGTAGATATTTAGTGAACATTAAAAAAAGTATAGAAAAGACGAAAAATTTTGCATTGAATTGTTAACAACAATGAAAATTGTTAATCAATCGAATAACCCCTAAGATGTTAACTGAATTATGTTATTGTGAAGCTCTGTAGAAAATTTCAAGTTGATTGATTGAAAACTTTTTGAGCTATATTTCCGATCACTTAAAAAAGGTCGAAAAACGCTTTTAAAGTTTTTGTTGCCATTCAGCGTAAGAAATTCGTTATAAGTAGAGTTCGGGACTCGGTCGGATGATCATAGCAGTCGCGTCAACGAAACTGATAATAACGGCAGTTATTGGCTTCGCGTTTGCTTCGTGTATAAGTGTTTTAATATTCCTATAATGTCGAACGCGCCAAGGAGTAAAGAACGACCTTTTGCTGATGAAGTGGGCAAAAATATTTATTTTTATTTATACCTACCTGTTTATTTATTTGTTTGCGACGAACACGCCTATAACTAGCCGACGAAAACCCCGAACTCTAGTTATAAGTATACCTGCACCAGATAATTGGCCTTCTTCATCCTCTTTTTTTCGGCTTGATCTGAGACTCAGCCTGTCCTCTATAACAGTTAATTATTGCCCAAAAAAACTGGTGTTCCCGATGTTTCCCTAAAACTTTTTTCCTATATTATTCACATATTAAAGCATGGTGGAAACCATTTATCCAAAAATCAATTTTCACAAAATTTTGGAGTGGTTTTACCCCTTAACGTCCTAAAATCAGCACAGACGGATTAAAACGAGAGGCTGTGGGGTAAATACTGTCATATTCTTTGGGTGGCTATTTTTTTTCGAAACACGTATCAGCCATTTCAGTATTTGTAAAATGAGTCGTTGCACTTTTTAAGTTAATCGCTCAATCGAAGGTTTTGTTGTAAATACATAAACACAAAATAGCCAAATCCCGCACACAGGCCACAGCAGACTTAATTAAAATTTTACATTATAAATAAAAATGAAACCTATACTAAAAACGATTTTACTAAAAAAAAAACGATGCATGTTAATGCTATGACACAAATCTATTTTTGTGTAAAAAATGTTTAATGTCAAAATGAGTTATCAAATTTTTAAAAAAACTGCCACGGAAAAAATATAATTACCTGTCATCCGTGTCGTAAGGAACAAACATTTTACTGCATGTGCAAAATTTCATTCACATCTTTTGAAAAATATTTGAAAGAGAAACTTCAACTTAACACACCCTATACATTGAAAACTGAATATTTTCTTCATAAAATCGCCTTAAATCATCTACAAGTTGTTTTAGAACACCTTGTATAGATAAATGATACTGGCTGTAAGTACCAAACTGAATATATTTGGATACTTCTATTACATCCCAAAGATACCCCAAAACGTATACACGCTTCCAAACTAACAATGGTATGTTACAAAATGAAATACCAAATATACAGGGTGTATCTAAATAACACCCAAAAAATGTAAGGGACGAATGAAAATTAATAGGGGTCGTTGGTATAAAATTTAGTTACGCCCCTACAAAAATTTCAAAAAAAAAATTATAAGAAAATATGTCATAGGGGTTGATTATCAACCCCTTACAAAAATACTTCAGGGTTGGAAAAATTTCAAATAGTGTAGTTTTTTTGACAGATAATGTTCACCAAGTTCGATTTCTTCAGCTTGGTGTACATGGAAGATAAAAAAGAAAAACATATTTTTTTAATTTTTAGTGGGGCGTTACTTTTCAGGGGAGAGATTTTTCAAAAAAATGTATACCAATGACCCCTATTCATTTTCATCACCCTTACATTTTTGGTGTTATTTAGATACGCCCTGTATAGTACTTGCCTTGTTCTATTTGGGCAGTTAGTTTTAGGTGCATTAAATTGTAGTGAGAAACAGAAAATAATGAAAACTTACTCTTTCAGGGATAGGTTAAAGTTAGCAACGAGCGCCAAAGAAAAAGACAGTAGCATAAAAGACTCATTACTGAAAGATAGCGACCCTCCATCCATCACAGACACTACATTAAAACTAGTGCCGTCTCAACCGTCCAATAACAATAACCAGCTGTTATCAGGTGGCAGTCCAGTCGCCCAGACCTCCGTACCACCCAAAGTTAGTGCCAGTGACAGACTTAGTGATAGCAACAATTTCTCAAAGACCAGTTTAGATAGTGTTGACAGTGTAGATAGGAACGAACCCCATTGGATGAAGCTAAAGCGAGCTGCCATCTCCAAGGACGTGTCCGACACCAGCTCGCTTATCCTGTCGAAGGATAACGGTGAGAATGGTGGCGCTGAGGAGGTGACGGTGGAAGCTGCGCCCAAGGAACCGAAGCCGAAGCCCAGCTTGTTCCTCACTAGGAAAACGAAGCATTATAGGTAAGTAATTGTTTCCATTAAAGAGTAAACTATATCAAAAAATGGTGTAGCACACTTTTGTGTTGTGGATTCATAAAAATGTTTATGTTGTATAATTAAGCTAGCAGTTGAAAAATTGGTCAAAAGTCTAACATGCTTAAAAAAATATTTCTCTAAACTGATTTAATGTTTGGATATTGCAACTTTCTTGCTTTAGGAGCATCTTAGAACATTTAAATTGAAAGCCTCTTCTAGTCATAACCACAACTTGAATAATGTTTACTAATCTGATACAAAAAAAATGCTGTGGATATTCTTGTACTTTTGTTTTATGTGATGTTGTTTAATTTCTCTTATAATTACTTTTTAAAGGTTCATCAATTCAGTGGCTTGCAACTATACAATGCCATGCTCCGTGCGTTATAGGTTTGTTTTTATTAAATCCAAAATATTAGTAGGTTGTTATTAAAAATGTACTTTTCGATGTAGGCTAGAGTTAAAACTTATAAACATGTTTTATTCCTTATTAACAGCGACAAACGCTTTATTACTATACAGGGTGTAAGAAGTATGACTGCCATAATATCAGCATGAGATAGAGTAATTATAAATGAACAAAACATATATTATAGAGTGTAAGATTAACAGTTTTCAAAATACAGCGATTAATATTGGGGAGTTTCATAACAACGTGAGCGCTACACAGCTGATGTACACGTACACCACGTGTGCACGCGGCAGACTTGTCCTATGGAAAAAATGTAAACAACTATTGTTGTGAAACATTTAGTAAATTTCAAGACAGTTGTTTTCCAGTTTTAAAATAAATAAAATAAAATGTATAGATTTTGTAGTATGAAGATAGTGTTTTGCTTAAATTTTAGCACGGATTTTAGTAATTATGAATCTCTTAAAACAGGAACTTAACTTATAATCAAATTATGAATTTGAAAAATATGTAATTAAAGTACCCAAAGACTCACGTCGTTCAAATAATCATAGGTACTTATTAAAAATAATTTAGTACTTACCAAAAAGCATAATTCAGTAATTTTTAAACGCTCAAGTACAAAACAAACTAAGACATATGTACAAAATGTCCATCACCATTTTCGACGCACGCACGACACCTTCAAATCCAATTTTCGCGCACTCGCTGGAAAACACCTCAAGAAAAGGAAATAGTGGTACGAAAAAAACTGAATTGCGTATTGGTGGTTGCTGGACACCTTAGTACCGCGTGTTAATAAACTGCTACGCCGTTGTCACATTGCTCGATATGAATTTTTTCGAATTTTAAATTTATTACAACACTAATTATTATTATTTTTTAGAATTAAACAAGTTGTCAATATTTCTTAATTAATCGAACTTTTGTACATTAAGTTGGAGAATTTGATAATTTTTTTCTCGGAAATGGTGGAGTTTTGGACCCATGTCATACGAGTATAAGGTTTCTTTGATTATTTTAATGTACCTATTCTATCGTCTGTTAAAATTAAGGCAATCAAACTTCTAATACCCTGTATACAAGTGATGCAAGCATTACTCAAGTGCTATCTACCAACTTAATTTCTTTCCTATGGGAAAATAAAGGACATTTGTTATATTTTAGCAAATTTTAAAAGTGCTGAATTGAATAATGAACTTACATCATTTATAAAAGTAGAATGGCCAGTAGGACTGCGTGATCACAGTTCCAGTGACTTCTTTTTTATAAAATGATGTTACTCTGAAGCTACGTACAAATCTAGTGCACAAATTGCCATTAAAACTGCAGAACTGACTATTTTTAGAAAATATTGATAAACTTACTCATTTAAAAAAATTTATCAATTTAAAATTTCTCAAAAACTGTCATCTTAAATTTCAGTTTATTTATATGGGTGAATAGTCAAATTGAATGTACAATTATCACGAACAGAGTGTTGACGATGGAGGTAACAATTAGTCATCGCACTGTACCTATATGTATTGTAAAAATTGTAAAAAAACACTGTACAAAACGTCAATGTTCTACCAAGGACGTGTAGGTTAACCTTAAAATTTATAATTTTGTAAAGTTATCGTCATAAAAATGTGCTACGAATTAATTAAAATTAATAAAATACGATGCGATGCGTTCACGGATGGAGTAGAAAAGACGGAAACTTTTTTCTTTTTCATCTTATGAAAAACATTATTCTGGTGAAGAAAATCTGCTTCTGTTCAAATGGTAAAAAAAATTAGTTTTTAACGGACCAATTTATACAGGGTTAGTATGGAAACCCCAAAAAATCTCAGGAGGAAAGCATTTTGGGGATAAATGGTGAAGACAAAAGTCTTAGCAGTTTTCACAGCGCATCCGAAAGTAACCTTGACCTCGAGGTCAAGGTTAAGGTTCAATGTCATATCAAGATCAAGTCGGTTTTTTTAAATAGCGACCCTCGTTTTTGACCCCGAAGGTGGAAAGAGCAGAAAATCCTGCATCCGAATATGACATTGACTTTGATCTTAAGATCACTAAAAAATTTCGTCCCTTCTATTCCATCGTCGAAAATAAAAAATGACAGCCGGAGTAATCACTTGACCTCTTGACCTCTACCTGACCTTCGGAATAAGGAGTCACTACTCGATATGACCTTGACAGGTTCTTTCGACCTTGACCTCAAGATAAACGTAACTAAGGAGTACCATCAGGTATCTACTCAAATATTATTACTCCCTCTGATACCGTAGTTAAAAATTAAAAAATACGGTAAAAAATCAACAATTGATCTTGAATTGACCTTGACCATTGACCAAGAGGTCACGTTTAAGATCATAATAATATGTAGAATTCTACGCTGTTTTATTTCTAGCGTCGGAATAAGGAGTCACTACTCCAAAAAGCGATATGACCTTGACATGTTCTATCGACCTTGACCTCAAGGTCAACGTCACTAAGGGGTATCGTCAGGTATCAACTCAAATATTATCACTCCCTTTAATTCCGTAGTTAAAAATAAAAAATTCCAGTAGAAATCAACATTTGACCTTGAACTGATCTTGACCTAACCTAACCATTGACCTTGAGGTAACGGTCAATGTCATACTCGGATGCACAATTTTATGCTTAAAAAATTCCAGTAGAAATCAACATTTGACCTTGAACTGATCTTGACCTAACATAACCATTGACCTTGAGGTAACGGTCAATGTCATATTCGGATGCACAATTTTATGCTCTTTTCATTTCCGGGGCGAAAAGGAGGGTGGACATTTAAAAAACCGAGTTGATTTTGATATGATCTTGAACCTTGACCTTGACCTCAAGGTCAAGGTTACCATTGGAAGCGTCGTGAAAAATGCTGAGTCTTTTGTCGTCACCATTTATCCCGAAAATCCGGCTGAGATTTTCGGGGATTTCCATGCTTTTGACTAACACTGTATACAGTGTTCCCTATTATGAAATTATTAGAAATGTAACAGTTAATTTTATTTTTAGAACTAATTAATGTACTTTGATATTTAAGAAACATTTAAGTACTTGAATCTTTTCCAAATTATGATATGTACAGGATATCCACATATCGTCTTATCAGTTGGTGTCAATGACAACAATTTTTTTCAGGGTAATTTGAATTTTGAGGAACGATACTGCTTATACTCCGCAGTCGAAATTATAAAGAGTGACTAAGACATAATATAAAAACACTATTACCATAATGCGTATAAAATATAAAATGATTTTTATACGGTTCAATATTATTTATCTTTGTGTCGCTCGCTACGCACATCGATAGAATCTATAGACCGAGTTACAGTGAACGTCGATCTATATTCTATCTCTGTCTTTTGCACTTGGTAGGGAATAGGGAAATGCTTTTTTAGTGGGTGTAAACGGACTTGATTTAACCCGTCTTGAGAAACGTCATAGCATAAGCGTAGACGAGGGGTCTAATTCCATGGCTATAATAAATTTATAAATTAAAAAAACACAATTGGGACGTTTTAAAATGCTGTAATAATTAAAATGGATCAAAGTGCCTGTTATAGCAAACCGTAAAAAATATTAGATGTTATGTTTTATTATCTTTTTTCATTATTTCCTATATCTTGTTGCCTTTTACGCAGACACGCCAATGGATTTTCGTTCCCGGCACGCTTCATCCCCATTACTAGTCCAAAAGTTAGCGATTAATCACTCTCTATAATTTCGACCGTGGAATATAGTTAAAAATAATCTGTAATGGATTTTTTACTAAAAATTAAGTAGGCCATGTCAGAAACAAAACTTTACTAGTACAACTTGTTCAGATTTAAAATTTATATCCATATTCCAAATATGGTTTTCCTAGATTTTTTTAATTTCTCCGTATTGTTTTTTGTATTTTTTATAAGGGATTGGAAAAAAATTATCACACGTTCTTTATACAGTTTACAATTCAATGATCAAATAAAAAAAATATCAAAATAAACCGATACCCCTATACATTAAATGTCGGAATTGGATTAGTTTTCTGTATGTTTATTAACTGATGTAGTGATTTATTGAGTTTTAAGTGTAAAATCAGCTACTATACTTCTAATCATTTATTTGTAGATGACACCCATTACCTTTATCTACATTTGGATAAAAGCAGAACTTTTAACAAAATGAGAAATAAAATCCAATTCTATCTGTGGACAGAGAAAAAAAATATTCACAGCAAAGCATCTTATGCGTCATATAAAATAGCTTAGCTTATGTGATTCTGTACTATGACGTTGGCTTTGGCTAGTATGTATCGGCCTTAACAATATCTAGTAATGTGACGATAAAAGCAAGATTTGCTATATTTTTTTAACAGTCCTGTATTCACATATTATTGCTATATTCATGTATAGGAAGTATAACAGAGATAAAAATTAAAATATATATTTTAATACGCAGTGAAGTAACCATGCTTGATGGGGCATTGGTTGCACATTTAGAAATGTGTCCTTGGTTTTCGGGTGTTATAACGTCTATTAGGTAGGTAAATTTGAAAGCATATTCAACAAATCAATTATGAGATGCG